ACTGATGTTACTTATACTAATGGTATAGGATCAATATTTGAACAAGATAAACAACTGAATATCATCAAAAAAAGAAAAGGTATAGTTAGTGAATGATGAAGATATTTTATTAATGTATTTTTACTTGTATAGAGTATATTGAAAGGAGACTAGAGACACCAGGTATAGTACTAACTTAAAGCATGTATTAAAGTAATGTGGAGTTGATAATCATTTGAACAATCAGTACAATTATCTTATAAATTAAAATTCTCATTGTGTCATTACTGTAGAGTCTAAACTGAAAGTGAAGCTAGTGACTAGAGGGAAGTTGATAAATAAAATATTCAAATCAAAGAAATCAGAGACTCAGTATTTCCGAACCTCTCTCCTAATGAAAGCAGGTACTGAGTCTACTGGTATAATCTGTCTATACTACCTCATGACAGGAAGAGAGGAGGCATTAGTGGAGTATAAGAAAGAGATTGAGCTACTACAAGAAAATATATCAATAACTAGTGAACAACTGCTGATGAGTGAAAAGGGAAATATTGAGAGTATGTGATATGTTAGTAATTAAATCATTAACTGATTGATATATTGTATAGAGAAGGATCAGTGGACACAATCACCAACTGCAGAATCTATTTACACAGCATGTATTGACTATCATGCACTATGGAGCAATGAAATATCATTCAGTGAGGGAGAGCAGCTGGAGATATATGACAAGGAGGATAGTTTTGTGTGGAAAGGAAGATCCTTGGTGTCTGGTGATGAGGGATACATTCCTAGTAGTTGTGTTTACTCAATGTTGGAGTCACTTCAATTGTTAGAGTTTATACTGTCAGGGGAAGAAGTGTCCCTTCCTATTCTACAGAAGATAAGGAATGATTCATCTAGTAATGATGAGAAAGCTTCTCTTTTCTTGGAGACTATTAATGATGATCCTATTATGATATCTGCACTGAGACAAGACAAGGAACAACATGATAAAGGTAATATTTGTGATTATTGTGACAGTCAGTATAATTATTGATGAACATGTAATGTCATGTGTACATGCATACTTGTGTATGTAGCATGTACAATGTACATGTAATTTTATACATTATATTCCTGTCCCTACATATGTACACATTACATGTGTGTATGTATGTACATATGTATTGTGTGTGTGTATTTGTTTATTGGTTGTAGTGACAACTAGCAAGTTGTGTGTGTTTGTATATACACATGATGTGAATATGTGTATTATTATGTACATACATGTATATAAGTATAATCCTTTGGTTTATATTAGGAGTCACTGGGAGTGTGGACTGGGACAGTGACAGTGTAACCCTTATCTTTCCATCTCCAGTTCAGTGTAATGAAGTGATTAGTAATATTAATAATAATCATAAGGTGATTTACCTCCACTACTCATCTACTAATAGTACAGTATCTCTACTATCATCAACTAAACTGCATACACTAAACCTGAGGAGACTTGAGATGTGGTGCACTCCATTAACTAATGATTGTATCCAGTACTTGTGTATACTACTAACTAATAATAAAATAATACAAGAACTAGTCATCAGTGTCCACTCCATTAGTGATAGAGGAGTTATTAATATCTGTCAAGCACTTGAACACAACTCTACACTTACCTCATTAGGTCTTTCTAATAATCCTCTCATCACTTCTACTAGTGGACAGGCTCTTTCTCACCTCCTCCTCAATAACTCATCACTAGATAAACTGAATCTAAGAAAGACTTCATTGTCTACTGAGTCAATACTACTCATCCTCCAGTCACTAATGGATAATAAGAAGATAAGGAGACTCATGCTAGACAAGCGACACAAAGAGACTTGTATTAATACTTATCCTAACTATCACCTCATACAAGACAGAGCAGACTGGACCAGTGACTGGTAATATAATCACTCTTCATGTACTTGTATGTGCCACAAGGTTTATATTACATGTATATTTTAGTTGTATTGTTTTATTTGATTTTAAAATACCAACAATTAGCATGCACATGTTCATTGACATGGAGACAGTAAACACTTCATGAGCTGCACAATATTTCAGAATATTTTAATGTGGAAATGTTCCAAATTTGAATTTAAGAAATTATGCACCAATCAAAAATTATAATTCACAGTTTCACACTAACTAATGGAATAATACAACTGGTATCACACAACAACCATAATAATAATAATAACAAAAAATAAAATTCTTAATAACTGTCACATTATTATTATTATTGATTAGTTAGCAAATATTTCTCCCATTGGTATCCAAACATTCTTCACTTCACAGGAATGATACAGAAACTCCTCCCCCTACTCATAATTAATGAGTCAATTATTAGTTACTAAGCAACACAGCATTACCTGTCCTTGTTCTGAGCTGGTCCAGTCTCTACTGATCCCATAACTGACCCACGTCCTCTTGATATTGTCCACTGAATGTAACTCTACAAACTTAGAACCTTCAGCCGACCCAAAATACCTAAAAATAAATAATAATAAAATAAGTAAAATATTTTAGTACCAAATAGCTTGAATGTCTTGATGTTCGGTTAAATATTTAATTAAATGATCACGTGATCCTGTTATGATATTAACCACACCCCCAGGTAGATCAGAAGTATCAAACACCTAATGATAGATATAGTACATTTCATATA